ATATTCATGAAAGTGTAACTTTGGGACAGAAATGTAAAAACTATTAAATTATCGATTAGTATAACAGAAAAACTGTTTTCAGAAAAATTAAAAAAAATTCTCAGTTGTACCGGATCACCGACGACCGAAACATCAGATTAGCCTTGAGTGATAGGTGGAATCATTACCAATTAAATTTTCGTTTTAGAAGTTTGAAAAAAAGGTTATCAACATTAGATTAACTTTGAGCGGCTTAGAGATCATTATCAATTAAACTTTCGACATATACACAAAAATAAAATTTTACAGTTTGAAAAAAAAGTTGTCAACAGTACCTGATCACTGACGACCGAAATATTATATAACCTTGAGTAGTACGGACACTCATTACCAAGTGAACTTCCGTCGTGTGCACATTGATCTAGCGGAGCACCGTGGGATGCATAAGTCTTAACTTTAAGTTGCGTGCGCCTTAACTATAAGTTGCGTGCGTTTAGTTTTAATTAATATCTGTAAATTCATTGTGAGCGCATTCTGTACAAAGACACGTTTATTGAACTTGGGACGAAATTAGGAATCCCTTATCTCCTCTCTTCTTTGGTTCGTTGGTACTATTGTTACTTTGTCCGTTGCACTAGAATCGGGTCTCCAAGTTTTGTAGCCAGTGTGGCGAATCGGGGAATTGCAGCCACGTCCGAAAGGACGAGGTGAAAGTCTTGTAGGCGAGCGTCCTTGGTAATTGACTCAGCGGTTCCGCGGAACCCCACTGGGTCGTTGGGGGTAGCGTTAGACTACTCGTCTCTAAATGCTCGACTGCGGAACCCCACTGTGTCGTTGAGGGTAGCGTTAGACTACTCGTCTCTAAGTGCTCGAACCTCGATTTGGCATTTGTACCGAATCGGGGAACTGCAGCCTCGTCCGAAAGGACGAAGTGAGATTCTTGTAGTCTAACGTCCTTGGTAATCCGACTCAGCGATTCTGCGGAACCCCACTGTGTCGTTGAGGGTAGCGCTATACTACTTGCCTCT